TTATTGTTTATACTCCTGCCCTATTGGCCTTACGCACTTCGACAAGAGTCCCCGAGAAATACTTTTTTGGATTAAGCATAACCATTCTACTTTAGAAATTTTTCTGTATATTAACCTAATTTGCGTCTACAGCCGACTTTATTAGGAGTACTCGCATTACGCCTGGACCACCCGTCAATGGGTTTTCTCGCCAGAGAAGAGGGAAACTGTAGAAAACCTCTCTGAGTACAACCGATTTATCGACCGTCGAGTTCTAATGGTGTGTACCGGACAATAATCGACGGTGCACATCATTATACCTCGACGTCAAACCTCCCGCTCAGATTGTCTCACGTGCCGGAAAAATACCAAGCCAAGTGGGCGCGAACCAAGGATACTTATACTCTTGGTCCTTAAACGACCACCAACGCCAGGCACTTATCCGACTGAGCCAATCTGTCGGTCAAATTTTTAAAATTTAATGCAAACAAACTGCAAAAATTGAATAATGCTTGGGATAAAAATTCTAAAGCTAATAAAAGATTTTCAAATTTAAAAGAAATAGTTGAAACTTTAAGAAACAAACAAGAGTTCCATGTTGCTGAGTATTTGAAGGTATTTTTTAGTCCTAGAATCGGATGATTGAAAAAAAATTTTTTTTTTGCTCATAAGTTTTAAAATATAATTGATCAAAAGTATTTACATGTTATTGCGTATGTTAAGAAGTTTTAAAAAAAGTATTTCAGATTGGAAAAAATATATATACCTTCCTTCTACAGAGGGCGCTTTGTCTACTGGTAAAAATTACTTTTAATTACGGTTGTCACTGTAGCTCATACCAGAATCATCTAAAATAAAAAAATTAAACATAATTTCATAATAGATGACTTAATACAGGACCTAAACCTCGAAATACTTAAAAACATCACACATTAAGAAAATGGTAAACTTCTGAATCTAAAAGACTGAAAAAACACAATCTTTTAAAAAATAAATGATACACAAAAAGTGTAATTTTGATCATTAGTAGTAAATCAGAGGTTTAGGTCCTGTATTAAGTCGTCCATTTTAAAATAAAATTTGATTTTAAACGATTCTGCTATGAGATACAATGACAACCAGTAATTTTTACCAGTAGCCAAAGCGCCCTCTGTAGAAGGAAGATACTTATGTTTTTTCAAATTTGAAATTCTTTTTTTAAGACTTCTTAACTTACACAATGACATGTAAAAACTTTTGATCAATTATATTTTAAAATTTATGAGCAAACAATTTTTTAAAAACTTTCGATTTTAATGCCTAAAAAAGTTACAAGACCCCTTAAAGAAAAAATTGTAAATTAATTTTTTATTCTACTTGGAATATATAAATTATCGATTTTATTACTTGATCAATTAATCATTGCGCATAAATATTAAATACGGTAGTATAAATTAACATATTTTACAAATCATGTTGTATATTAGTTTAAGAAATTTTACATTACTACATATTGACTTAATAAAATAAAGGAAATTTTGATTTTTATACCTACTAATAAAATCTGTGTACTGAATAAACCAATTTTTTCAATAGGATTTACCACCTCACCTAAAGGAAGTTTTGGCGAGATTAAAAGATCGAAAACCTACTGCACCTTTTCCAGAAAATCTTAAAAATTTCGCAAGGACCCTGCATTTACATTCCCCTGCTGCGTACGAATTTGTTAGGAGTAGATTTCTTAAATGTTTACCATGTACACAGACACTATACAAGTGGTATTGTACAAAACAATTCAAACCGGGAATATCAGAAGAAATTATTAATAAAATTTCAAATATTGACGAGCAAGAAAGAGCGAAGGGCAAAAAGCTTGTATTCAACATAACATTTGATGAAATGCATATCAAACAACATAAAGAATGGGATAAAAACACATGTTTGTGGAAGGGCCTTGTCAATTTTAGTGGACAACTAAAGGAACTAAATTAAAGGGTGAAGAAAAAGTGACCACTAGATCATTAGTATTCATGCTTGTTAATATAAATGGCGGTTTTAAAGCTCCAGTAGCACATTATTTAATTTCAGTTCCTTTTACATGTTTGCTAAATGAAATATATTTTTCTTTATTTATCGGTAAAAGTTGAATCCTTCCTTCAAATTCTAAGCAAATATCTTCAATTATAAAATGAGCATCATACCCACTTAAATTGTGAAATACAACAGGTATTAGAGGAGAGTCTCCAGTTGTGAGACGGGTTTTATTTTTGACCCGTAAATTGTAAACGGGTAAACGAAATTGTAAATAAATTACACCGTTCGAAAGGTAACAGAAATACTTACAATCTGCGTAGTTTACAAATAAAACTTTTTCTTTATTTCCATGATTTTTAAAATAAATAAAATTCTTTCCGGGTTTGGGTAGGTTAATTTTGCATTTATTGAATGTTTGACACTCGTCTACGTGTTTAGTTAGTTTTTCCTCTGTGATAAAGTAATGAAGACATCGATCGCAAATATATTTTTTACTTCTGTTTTTAGAGACTTGAGAATTTACAAGACGAGACAAATTCTTGATCCACACGTAGTAATAATCTAGTGAGATGACTTGATTATTAACAACATCATCATCATCATTATCACTGAAACCCTCATCTTCATAATGACTTTCAACTATTAACAAATTGACATGCTTCTTCTTTTTTTCTGCAGTCAAGTGCAATGGAACAGTAATAAAATTCTTGCCTTTTAATGCATGTTTTGTTTTGCATGTTTTGCATGTTTTGCAAAAAAAACCCTTTAAAAAATGTGTTAGCAGAATTTTCACCAAAAGAGATTTGAAAAAAATATTTTCAGAAAGTCTTAACGAGTCAGAAAAATGTAGGCTCAGCCGAATCGGATAATTAGAAAAAAAGTTATAGCAATTTAAAGTTCGGTATACGTTAAATACATTTTTGCATTTTAAAAATGGTTTAAACAACAGATAGAATAGAAAAATAATTGTGAATAATATATATTATTTTAAATAAATCAAATTAAGTAATTAATTAATTAATAGCTTTTTTTATGTAAAAGAGACTGGGGTAAACTCGCTCACTAGCGATTTGACGCTATCAACTCAACTTAAAATGGAGATATTGGTACTGTGAATAGTACTTAACATTCAACTAATATTAACGAACTTTTGTTTAATTTCATCATGAATTCAACATAGAATCAGAGGCGATCAAATGTTTTTAGAGGTGTCAGAAAAAAAAACGTTTTTCGAATTTTTAAGTTTTTCGATCATTATTTTTGAGTCTTAATTTATTTGGCAAATTTTTTTTGTTGCTATTGGATGTCCTTCTTTGAAGTAGGGAAGACTGGGGTAAACCCGATCACTTTTTTTCAGTTCAGTAAAAATCTAGGAAATTATTCTCTAAATCCGGGTTAATTTATATCATTTGAAAGCTTATGATTTCTACTAAAAAAATAAAAAAATGTTTTTGATTTATCTTTGTGAGTTTTACTTAGAGAAACTTTTTAATACACATATACCAAATTTCGAAATTACAAATTTCCAGGGTCAATCCGAGTGTATTCCTCACATTTTAGAATAAATTTAATTAAATCTTTTTGAAATAAAACAAAACTATAGGGGAGAGTTAGGCTAGTTGCACCACCGGACAAGATGCGTTATACGAGATATTTCTTACATTTCTAGAGATTTTTGAGTGTTGATCACAGATGGTGTTAGTTACACACAACACCTAACCTTATATTTCGAAAAAACCTTCCAAGAAGGTGCCCAAAAAGAAATTGAGATAAAAATCAGAAAAAATCAGAAAAAATGAACTATTATAAAACCTTTATGGTAACTTAATTTAAAAATGTTTTTTTCTAATTGAACTACTTTATAGTAAAAAAAAAAATTAGTCTACTGTTTATTTATTGCCTTTTTGAAATTCATGAACGTGCTTAACAATATTTAATAGTGGATTTGATGTAAATTCTTAAATTATAAAAAGTGTCGTGCAAGACGCCCCACCTGTGGGTCGTCTTACATCAATAGCGACTTTTTTTCAATGTTGTTGCCATGATTGAATTATTTTATAACGAGACATCTATATAATTTTAAATCATAAATGAGTAATTGCTTTTTTAATTTATCGTATATAACCTATAAACTAATTGATATTATAAAAGTTATTACATTTTTTTAAAAAAGTGGTGCAACTAGCCCCACTCTCCCCTATGCATTGATCGTAATTTCTTCTTTATATCTCAGGTATCATACTTCTGCTTTTTCGTAGAGGAACCTTTGCTTTGTAATCCTTCAAATTTTTAATAATTATTTAAACAAATTATCCTTAGAAAAACATTAAAAATAAATAAATAACAATAATTTGTTAAAACAACTATTTAACTAAATACTATTTCCTATCTCATTGTCAGTGTATTTTTATAACATTTTTAATGTACATAAAAAAGCTCTGAATTAATTAATTAATTATATTTATAATAATTATTATTATTCACAATTATTTTTCTATTCTATTTTTTGTTTAAACCATTATTTAAATTATTGCATCAAAAAAAGCAATATTTTCTTCTTTATTATTTATAGGTATTTGTTTAAAACTTTTGTTAACAACAATTGGAATCATAACGTAAATGACAGAAATAAATTTTAACAGCAGATAAAATAACCTAATTTATTATAAGTAAGGCCCTGATCATAACTTGATTTGGCCTTTTTTAAACACCACTTTAGGATCTGATCAGAAAAAGTGTATCACTTCCAATTCAAGGTCCTATTTAACCTGATCAGGACCGGATGACAACCACGTCTCAGTGTCTACATTAAAATTTTAAAAAGCATAAGTATTTTTAACTTGACATTTATCAACTTTGTAATTATGCCAGCTGTAGTTACAAACAATGTAATAAGATTCTACATTAACAAAGAAATAAAACTATGAATTATGCATTCATTCCCACTGAGAAATTAAATTTTTCCAAGTGCAAACACTGTTTCATTCACTTCAATTGAAATACGCTTTACCGCCTCAAGTTACATAATTTTGTGTACAGTTGAAAGAAATTTATAATTTAACTACAAACTTTTGTAATAAATCTTTCATCATGACCGAAATTCAGCAATTTTACACTGACCAAAGTATATTTATCACAGGTAATTAGTATAATTTTGTAAATATTAACTGTTATAAATATAAATTGTATACACACAATTTTAACCCCTTCGCAGTCAAGACCAAAATCTCATAAGTGGGCTCAAAATGTCGACAACTTTTTAGAAAACTAAAATTTACGCAAACAAGTATACTATTATATTTAAAGTCGCTGATTACGAATCCAATATCAGATTTTGAAAATTCAAAATGGCAGATCCAATATGGCGAACATGAAAACTAAAAATCGACTGGATTCACTTAAAACTTGTTACTCAGGGATTTTCAGGGTCGCTGATTACGAATCCGATATCAGATTTTAAAAATTCAAAATGGTGGTTCCAATATGGCGGACAACATTTCCTAAAATTCATCGGATTCACTTGAAACTTTTTACTTGGGTGTTTTCAGGGTCGCTGATTACAAAACCGATTTCAGATTTTAAAAATTTAAAATAGCGCCAGCCATATTTAAAACGCCACATTGTATTTTAAAAATCTTATGCTAGATTGGTAATCAGCGACTCTGACAACCCCCGAATAACGAGTTTAAAGTGAATCCGATGAATTTTAGAAAATGTCTTTCGCCATATTGGATCCGCCATTTTAAATTTTCAAAATCTGATATCAAATTTGTAATCAGCGACCTCGAAAACCCCTGAGTAACAAGTTTCAAGTGAATCCGGTGAATTTTAGAAAATGTCTTTCGCCATATTATATCCACCATTTTGAATTTTTAAATCTAATATCAAATTTGTAATCAGCGACCCCGAAAACCCCTAAGTATAAATTTGTGGACAAATATGTGTGTTTTTGTAGCCAAAAATCTGCTTGCGTCTATACACGTCATCGACAGTTTGAGCCCACCTGCACCATGACGTGTATGAGGCATTATTCCTAAACTGCCCCAAAAATAAAAAAAGTTCTTGGAATTTTTTATACTTTGAAAATATGTTACCCTAGTAGATACAAGTTACTACACCAATTTACAGGTCCAACCCCCCACCCCTATCAAAAGGGTGGGGGGTTGAAATTTCAGCTTAAACTCGAAAATGCATTTTTTAAACATTTGTAGTTTCTACTTAAATTATTCGATTAAAAAAAGTAAGTAGTGTTTTAGAAAGGTTTTTTTATGTACTTTTAAAATATTCTATTTATTTAATAAAAAAAAAATTTTTTTTGCAAACATTTTTTAAAATAAATAGTTTTTTTGAAATTTTGTGCAAGTTCGGCAGTTTTTATTTTCTTTTTAATAATCTCAAATGAAAGCTTCGGATTTTCCCTAAAAGAAGATATAAGTCTGAAGATGGGCCGAAACAATTTGCCAAAGATATAGTGTAATAAGTAAAATTTGTCCGTCCGCTCGCGTACTCCAGCGCGATGAACAGTGGGATTTTTTTTTCAACTTACTATTAAAAATTTTCTAGAATCTACAAATTTTATCGGATGTTGATGTTCTTGATTTAAAATTACTAAGAGATCCATCAAAGTCGATTTTTGAATTTTTAATTGTTTATTTTTTTCTTGTAACTCAAAAATTTGACAAATTACAATATTTTTCGAAAAAATGATGTTTATTTTTTCATTTTTTCATTGCACATGATCGAAATCAATTTAAATTAGTCTAGTATGACCACCGGACAATTAGTAAAGCATAATACCATTTATTTAAATTGTTGCAAACAATGTTAATTAACAAATAGATTACTTCGGACCTTCTTCATAAAAAAATTGGTTTTCTTGCAGACAAGTTTAAATTTATGTCTAATTTAGTAAAAAATTATTTTACAGTTAAAAATTATTATCAATATTAACAATTATATAAACAATAATCAACTTCCTTTTGTATTTGTAAACATTTTCGTCATTTTTTAAACTTTAAATATTTATATCATATGTACATTCTTTCAAAAACTTAAAAAATTTATTAGCTTAAACAATTACATTTGTTATAAACAAATTTTTCATTTTTAAACAAATAAGTAGCTTTTTCATCAAACAAAATTTTTTCCTTTCTTTTATATTTACTATCGTAAAAAAGAACTCCTTAATGAAATAGGAATACATTAAATTATACATTTAATTTTAATAAACATTATAAGTTAAGAAATATTTATATTTTTAGTGAAGTAAACCATTATTCAGTTAAAACAGGTTACATTTAAATGCATATAAATAAATATATATGTTTTCTGTGAAAAAAGAACAAAGTTAAATAGTTGTTAACTTATAATGTTTATTAAAATTAAATGAATAATTTAATGTATTCCCATTTCATTAAGGACTTCTTTTTTATGATAGTAAATGTAAAAAAAGGAAAAAATTTTGTTTGATGTAAAAAGCTACTTATTTGTTTAAAAATGAAAAATTTGTTTATAACAAATGTAATTGTTTAGGCTAATAAATTTTTTAAGTTTTTGAAAGAATGTACATATGATATAAATATTTAAAGTTTAAAAAATGACGAAAATGTTTACAAATACAAAAGGAAGTTGATTATTGTTTATATAATTGTTAATATTGATAATAATTTTTAACTGTAAAATAATTTTTTACTAAATTAGACATAAATTTAAACTTGTCTGCAAAAAAAACCAATTTTTTTTATGAAGAAGGTCCGAAGTAATCTATTTGTTAATTAAAATTGTTTGCAACAATTTAAATAAATGGTATTATGCTTTATTAATTGTCCGGTGGTCATACTAGACTAATTTAAATTGATTTCGATCATGTGCAATGGAAAAATAAAAAAATAAACATGATTTTTCTCGACGTGTCATTAATTTCGTTACCCGTCTTAGAACGGGCCATATTGTTTGCTCTGATCACTTCGAAAGTTTGGGATGGAGAATGGAACTTGATTGCCCTTGCGGAGCAGATAATAGGAGTTTGAAACACTTGTTTATTGAATGTCCCATTTTATCACCGGGTAGGCCGGAGCTCTTTGGATTTTTATATCATAGACTGGGGATTGATAACCCTGAGCAATTTAATCCGTATAAAATTGTGCTGAACCCTACAAGAGAAATGGTCGAGGCTTTGGGTCGGTTTATTGGCGGTGCCACTTCTCGCATAATAATTTAATATGTAGGGATATTAGGGCAGAATTTTATACATTAGATATACTCGTTTATTTATATGCTCTAGGTTTCAGGTTTTCTTTGTTAATTTTTGTTTTTGATTTTCTTTATTTTTTGGTTTCTTTCTGTTTTTTGTAATTTTGATAATTCTGTTTGATAATTTTGATATTTTTGTGTGAAAAGGAAATAGGAAAGGATGGGGAAGAAAGGGGGGAAGGTAGGGGGAGAAGTGAGAAAGAAAATCTCTTTTTTCCTCGACTTTGATGGATCTCTTAGTAATTTTAAATCAAGAACATCAACATCCGATAAAATTTGTAGTTTCTAGACATTTTTCAATAGTAAGTTGAAAAAAAATCCCACTGTTCATCGCGCTGGAGTACGCGAGCGGACGGACAAATTTTACTTATTACACTATATCTTTGACAAATTGTTTCGGCCCATTTTCAGACTTATATCTTCTTTTAGGGGAAATCCCAAGCTTTCATTTGAGATTATTAAAAAGAAAATAAAAACTGCCGAACTTGCACAAAATTTCAAAAAACTATTTATTTTTAAAAATTTTTACAAAAATTTTTTTTTTTTTATTAAATAAATAAAATATTTTAAAAGTACACAAAAAACCTTTCTAAAACACTACTTACTTTCTCTAGTCGAATAATTTAAGTAGAAACTACAAATGTTTAAAAAATGCATGTTCGAGTTTAAGCTGAAATTTCAACCCCCCACCCTTTTGATAGGGGTGGGGGGTTGGACCTGTAAATTGGTGTAGTAATTTGTACCTACTAGGGTAACATATTTCCAAAGTATAAAGGAAATCCAAGAACTTTTTTTTACTTTTGGGGCAGTTCAGGAATAATGCCTCGTATACACGTCATCGACTGCCAAGGGGTTAAAAAATAGATCCATTTGATTATGATACATGTGGGTAAAGTTTAATTTCATTTTAAATCTACTTAAACTGAAAAAATCTAAACTTCCTAATTTTAATTCAAAAATCTAGGTGGTACGGGATTTGTGGGGAAAATTCTTATTGAAAAACTGCTTCGTTCGTGTCCAAGGATAAAAACTGTTTATATTTTAGTGAGAGAAAAAAAAGGAAAGCAATTTCGAGATCGTCTCAAAGAAATTACTAATTCACAGGTAAGTTATTTCAATATTAAAATCTTATATGTATGCACGGAAAAAATTTATTTGATTTGCATAAATGAATACTTGTCTATTATTGAAAATATTTATTTGTATCACCTAACTTGTACTTAAGTCAATCAAATGGTTCAAATAATTTAATTCAAACACAATTTATTTAATTCCATTGAAGATTTGATATGAAAATGATGTTATTCAAGTAAATATTCATTTGACAATTGTCAAATAAATACATTTTTTCTGATGTGACTGTATTAGTAATTATTATAAATATTAAAATAATTTAATAATGAAATCATATTGAATATTGAAGAAAAAGTTTATCCAGCTCCACTCTCGCATGAAAAATTAACAGAACTTGTCGGTACCATGGACGAATTAAATATGTCCAGAAAAGAAGAACTCAAATTCACCAAATTGTGCGGACAAGAATAATTATTTTAAAATTCTCTTAAATTTTATGACATTTAAAGTGTTCCTTCTTTGTGGCTTTACTTTCTGCTTGTAAAAAAATTAAAAATGCGTCAAGGTGTCCACTTCGAACTTTAGACACCAGTACCAAATAGTCTAAAGTTCAGGGGTTTCAGTGTAATTCAAATAAATTTTCTTTTTAATGTAAAATTGTCATTTACACTACCGTCCAAAAATAGCAGGACGATTACATTCGAATCTTTGAAAAAACATGCCATCACCGGGGTGTCTAACGGTCAGGGAAGTTAGGGAAGTCAGGGAAAAGTCAGGGAATGTCAGAGAATTTCCTTGAAAGCCAGGGAAATTTCTAAAAATTTGTACAAAAATTAAAATTTTTGTGCATTGGAAATTCAACTGTGGCGACTCGATTGTGGCTTCGCGCGGCAGCGAATGAGAGAGAAAACAGGAACGAATTTATGCGGGGGAACGATGAACTTTTGAGTTTCTTTATATTACTCGTGAAACATCATTATTTATTATTCTCGAGCAAAAATTTGTCCCTGTTTTCTCTCATTCGCTGCCGCGCGAAGCCAAAATCGAGTCGTCACAGTTGAATTTCAATGCACCAATCGGTCGAAACACGGCTTCACATTTTTAATGATATATCGAAGACGGATTAACCTGTTTTAATTTTCGAATGCTTATTTTAAAGCTGAAATTCTAACGAAGATTTCTGTGTTTTTAAAAAAATGTTATCTAAATTTTTCTAGATTTTTGAAAAAGTTGAAGTCAAGAGACAAAAATGAGAAAAATTGATAATTTTTTTTTATTTCTTTTTCTCTCTATAACTTAAAAAGTAATTAACGAAATGACTTCAAAGACGGCTTATTTTACGCAGAATTTAATCATCTTTCTAACCGTATTTGAGTTTTTTGTACTTTCTTTTATTTCCGAGATATGATTTAAGTAGTGTATATAAATATGAAAATTAACTTTTAGAGTTCTCGGCAAGTTCCCAAACACATATTGCTTCACAAAATCAATTGCCGAAGAAGTTGTCAGTAAAAGTGCAAAAGAACTTCCAGTTTCCATTTACAGATTTTCAATTGGTAACTTAATATATGTTTTGAAAACAAATGATTATGTCGGCATTAAGTATAATATCTGTTATTAAATATAAAATGAGTGATGTAAATATTTCTTTTTCAGCTGTAGCTGCACTAAAAGAACCTTTAGAAGGATGGCTGGATGTAAGCCAAGGAATAACACAGGCTTTAATAGGAATTTGTTCAGGTCTTATCCGAGTGATGTATGTAAAAGGAAGTGCTAATATGGAAATAGTACCAATTGATTTGGTTTGTAATTGTCTAATTGCTTCTGCATGGGATTCATCATCTTGTAAAAAAAAGTATGTTTCTATCCTCAAAATTTTATATTTATGAATAAAAATGAAATTTATACAAATCAAAAACGTTGTTACAAAAATAATTTTTTAAAATTTTCGATTAAAAAATTTAATTGTAGATGTTTTATTTCGAAAAAGTTCAGTACAAGGAAGAACGTTATTATTTGCAAATAACTTCGAAATTGTTTGAAATTTTTACACATTTCCACTATCGTAAATTTTACTTCTATTTATTTATTATGAAATTAAACAAAAGTTTTCTTTTTTTAGCGAAGAAAAGAGTGTGCAAGTATATAACTACGTTTCGGGAAGAGACAACCCAACGACTTGGAATTATATGCGGAGTTATCTTTATTCTCAACGTTATATACATCCATTGAACAATCCATACTACTATCCAGATTCAATTATGACTGATTCCCTTTACTTATTTCTTATTCTGCACTACATACTGCACTTCATTCCTGCCATTTTAGGAGATGCAGTTTTAAGAATAATAGGAAGAAAACCTTTGTAAGTAAAAACGACGCAAAAATTGTATATTTTTTTATTATAAAAATCCCTAAAGTTAACATCGACCTTTAGAGTCGAAAATATAAAGAATTATTCGTCCAGGAAGGACTTTTCATGAGTTTTAGCAACATCATAACAATAGTCCATAATACTAACTACAAATTTAAATGCTGCGATGAAAGCAAATTAGGCACTAATCATTTTCTTACAAAAAAAGAATAACACATTTCTATTTAAGGTTACAAAAAATTTTTAAAAAAGGATCAAAATTGGTATTGGCTATAGGATTTTATTCATGCGGAGAATGGGTATTTGATACTGACAATGTTAAATCGTTGTGGAAAAAACTCTCTGAGAATGATAAGAAACTATTTAATTTTGACATCACATCATTTACTTGGGATATAATGATACGAATTTATGGTGAAGGTGGTAGGAAGTTTATATTAAAAACCGAATTTGATGAAGAAGGATTGAAAAACGCTATACGTAGAATGAGGAGGTAAATTCTTAATTTTTCACTCTAAAAAAATTACTTTATAATTATTTAAATATATATATATAGATTGTCTATAGAAAAAACGCAAGGCAAAAAATACTATGAATTGATTACTCTCTAAATGTGAATTATGGAATAGTAGATTACTGATTTCAGTTAGCGTATTTTTTCACTAAGAGCCTAGTGAAATTTAGCTTATTTATCAGAATATATACGCTGATGGAAATCAATTGGTACTTATAGGACACATTGATAAAAAGTGATTGCATGTTTCGAATGTTTCAGACTTTACTACGTTCATCAAATTGTTCGGGGCACATTCTATGCCATTGTTTTGTGGCTTGTTTGGAAAATTTATAATATACTATTCCTCAGGTTGTAACTCTTTTGCGGCATAATATTTTCGAAAATGATATAAAAAATAGTTTTAAATAATAAAAAAAGTATAATCTTTAAATAATAATAATTATGTTGTTAAATCCAAATATAATCTTAATTAAATATAATCTTCAAATTTCTTCAAAAAATGAATAAAAACAATAAAAAACAACGTTTTTAAATAAAATTTTTTTTTATCCTCCGTTATACCGACTGCGTGTCCACTAGGCACTGCGCTGTTTCGAGCACCGTCAATTGGGTCCGAGAGGCTGCATTTGGAAGTTCGTTCTCTGCTGCAGTGTAATCGACAGAACGTAGAAAGCCACGCAGATCATTTGCATTACATTGGCTGTAACCTCTTTTGCGATCCGTCGGTTCTCACATAACTTTAAAGAAACATATGAAGAAGATGATTTGTAGCATTGTTTAAACAAATTATTTTTGTTATTTGTTATCTTCATAGACAAAGAACATAAAAACTTGCAGTTGCTTTTTAATTTTGCAATTATCTATACACATTAGTAAAATATGTAGAGATTTTATAAATATAACATTTTAGCATTGTTTAAACAAATTATTCTTGATATTTTTTATCTTCTTACATAAAGAACCAATAACATAGTCTTATATAATAATTACTTAACAATTATTGGCAAATTTTGTGTCTACTTCGTAAATTAAACAAATCATAATATTGAATACTATTTCTCATAAAACTTTTTTTTGGATAGGTTTGTATCATATTTTCAAATAGTAACAGTTATCGTCAAACAGAAGCAATAATACTTTAATTAAGTATTTTTCACGCTAATTTAATTCTTTTTTTAAATAATATTTAGAAAATTTAATGTGATAGCGTACCACAAATGTAAGAATGGATGTCAAAAATTTAACAATTCTAAGAAATATGTTAAAACAATTGCTGTGTTAAACTTAAACATTTTCTTATAAACGTCCAAAAGATACAGTAGGGGAGGATGAGGCAAGGATAGTTAGTGGTTGTAATGCTTAAATGGCTTATTCAAAAAGCGCGTCATTCATGATATTTTCGTTTCTTAACACTAACAGATGATAGTAAAAATTGGAAGTCAATCTGACACCATTTTCGAATTTAGGAGTTTATTTTTATAAAACACCTGTTTTTATAAAATTTTAACGTAATCTTAATCATGTTTATTATATTTTTGCTGAACACGAATATCGTATTTATTTTTAATTAAATTCACGTTGTTTCACAAAATTTAGGAAAAATTGAAATATGGGTTCCTTGCTCCCCCTTGGGTCAAGAATAGGTTAGAGCTAATTTGGCTCAGAACAATCCTGCTAATGCGACTGCAAATTATAAAAAATGTTTAATTGTTCTTTTTAGGTTGATATACACAATGGTGCGTAATTATCCCATTAACGCCTGAAACTTCTGAAAATTTGTGTTTAATTAAAGAAATAATTTCATATACTAAAAATACTCCCTGCAAGTAACTGAAGTGTTTCTTTATGTTTTCGGGGTCGCTCTACAAGATTCCGGGCTCAGATTTAAAATTTATCAAAAAGAAAATTAAATATGTCGAATTTTGTACATTAAATTGCAAAAAAAATAAATTTTCTTTTTTTTTAAATAATTATTTCTTACTGAAAACATTTTTTTCACACGAATACAAGTGTCACAATTTGGCAAAAACTTATTAAACTTTCAAAATATGCAATAGCGGAAATAAAAAAACAAAATGGCGGCTTCAAAATAGCGCTAAATTGAGAAAAAAATTATTCAATTCATTTTATGGTGCACCGATATTTACCATGGCTATGCAATGTAATAGAACATAGTGTTTATATGTTTTTAAGGTCGCTCATAACGAATATATAATCGGACTTTCAAAATTCAAAATGGCGGATCCAATATGTCCGACAAATTTTTTTAAAATTTACTCGATTCGCTTGAATTTTGTTACTCAGGGGTTTTTGGGGTCGCATATTATGAATTTGCAATTGGATTCTCAAAATAAAAAATGTCGGATTCAATATAGCGGACAAAAATTATTTAAATTTACCAGATTCGCTTGAAACTTGTTTCTCAGGCGTATTTGAGGTCGCTGATTATGAATCTGAAATTGCATTTTCAAAATACAAAATGGCGGATCCAATATGGTGGACAAAAATTATTTAAATTTACTAGATTCGCTTGAATTTTGTTTCTCAGGAAGGTTTTGAAGTCGGTGATTATGAATCTGCAATTGTATTTTCAAAATACAAAATGGCGGATCTAATATGGCAAACAAAAAGTATTTTAATTTATTAGATTCGCTTAAAGATTCCTTATTTGTCATCTCAAATTGTTTCATCAACCTTGTCACATTATAAGTTTGAAAATATTAAGTCTTATGATAAAACAGTATTAAAAGAATTTATCAAAGCTAAGCCAATTAGATTTGGACCAAAAATTTTTGGTTGTGTACTTCTGATAGATTTGTTTTGTATTTTGCCTTATTCTGTCTTATTCTGACTATTCTGGCTAATAGATGGTCATCATTTTCAAATTTCACGCGACTAGATTTGATTTTAAAAATTTTGTCCGCCATATTGGATCTGCCATTTTGTATTTTGAAAATACAATTGCAGATTTATAATCAGTGACCTCAAACCCCCTGAGAAACAAATTTAAAAGCGAATCTAGTAAATTTAAATATTTTTTTGTCCGCCATATTGGATCCGCCATTTTGTATTTTGAAAATGCAATTGCAGATTCATAATCAGCGACCTCAAATACCCCTAAGAAACAAGTTTCAAGCGAATCTGGTAAATTAAAATAATTTTTGTCCGCCATATTAAATCCGACATTTTGTAATTGAGAATCCAATTGCAAATTCATAATATGCGACCCCAAAAACCCCTGAGTAACAAAATTCAAGCGAATCGAGTAAATTTAAAAAAAATTTGTCAGACATATTGGATTCGCCATTTTGAATTTTGAAAGTCCGATAGTAGATTCATAATCTGCGACCCTAAAAACCTCTGAGTAAAGAAATTTAAACGAATCGAGTAAATTTTGAAAAAATTTGTCGGCCATATTGGATCCACCATTTTGAATTTTAAAAATCCGATTGCAGATTCATAATCTGCGACCCTAAAAACCCCTGAGTAATAAAATTCAAACCAATCGAGTGAATTTAAAAAAATTTTGTCGGACATATTGGATCCGCCATTTTGAATTTTGAAAATCCGATTATATATTCGTCATGAGCGACCTCAAAACATATAAACACTAAGTTCTATTACATTTCACAGCCATGGTAAATATCGGTGCACCATAAAAAGAATTGAATAATTTTTTTCTCAAATTAGCGCCATTTTGAAGCCGCCATTTTGTTTTTTTATTTTCGCTATTGCATATTTTGAAAGTTTAATAAGTTTGTGCCAAATTGTGACACTTGTATTCGTGTGAAAAAAATTTTTTTAGTAAGAAATAATTTTTTTAAAAAAAAAGAAAATTTATTTTTTTTTGCAATTTGATGCACAAAATTCGCCATATTTAATTTTCTTTTTGATGAATTTCAAATCTGAGCACGGAATCTTGTAGAGTGACCCCGAAAACATAAAGAAACACTTCAGTTACTTGCAGGATGGATTTTCAGTATATTTAGTAAAAAATTATTTTACAGTTAAAAATTATTATCAATATTAACAATTATATAAACAATAATCAACTTCCTTTTGTATTTGTAAACATTTTTGTCATTTTTTAAACTTTAAATATTTATATCATATGTACATTCTTTCAAAAACTTAAACAATTTATTAGCTTAAACAATTACATTTGTTATAAACAAATTTTTCATTTTAAACAAATAAGTAGCTTTTTCATCAAACAAAATTTTTTCCTTTTTTTATATTTACTATCATAAAAAAGAACTCCTTAATGAAATAGGAATACATTAAATTATACATTTAATTTTAATAAACATTATAAGTTAACCCCTTGACTGTGGATGACGTGTATACACGTCATGAAAAAAACTGGCCCAAACAGTGGATGACGTGTATACACGTCATGGCCCGAACAAGAAAACATCTTAACGTATATTTGCAAAAATTTTTACTCCGGGGTTTTTAGGGTCGCCGATCACGATTCTGAAGTCAGATTTTCAAAATAAATAATTTTTCATCCAAAATGGCCGCCAAAAATTTTGAAAGATTTTAAAAGTCGATAAATTTTTTAAAAAATTTGTACTCGGGGGTTTTTGGGGTCGCTGATCACGATTCTGAAGTAAGATTTTAAAAACAAATAATTGTTTATCCAAAATGGCCGCCAAAAATTTTGAAAAATTTTAAAAGTGGATAAATTCTTTTAATAATTCTTACCATTTAGACTTTGAAAAGCTAATAACAGATTCGTAATCAGCGACCCCGAAAACCCCTGAATAACGAATTTTAAGCGTATTGAATGTATTTTTCAAAATCGTGACCGCTATTTGAAATCCGCCATTTTGAATTTTAAAAAACTAATGTCAGATTCGTAATCAGCGACCATGAAAACCCCCGAGTAACGAATTTTAAGCGAATCCTTTGAATTTTTCAAAATCGTGTCCGCCATTTTGGATCCGCCATTTTGAATTTTAAAAAACTAATGTCAGATTCGTAATCAGCGACCACGAAAATCCCCGAGTAACTATTTTTAAGCGAATCTAATGAATTTTTCAAAATCGTGTCCGCCATTTTGGATCCGACATTTTGAATTTTTGAAAACTAACACCGGCATCGTAATCAGCGACCCCAAATACCACTTAGTACCTATTGTCATGAAAATTTATTTACAAGAAGGTCTTACACATTTTGGGACCATTTTGTTATATTTTAGCTACACACTGAAGGGGTTAAGAAATATTTATATTTTTAATGAAGTAAACCATTATTCAGTTAAAACAGTTTACATTTAAATGCATATAAATAAATATATTTTTTCTGTGAAAAAAGAACAAAGTTAAATAGTTGTTAACTTATAATGTTTATTAAAATTAAATGAATAATTTAATGTATTCCCATTTCATTAAGGACTTCTTTT